AGTGGAGATGGGACTCCATTCATCTTGAGCACTCCCAAGTGATATCCTAAAAAGTGCCTTAATCTTGTGGTATCAAGGTTGGCCCCAACATTTACATTTTTGAGTGAAAATACAACTCGACTTCTTTTGTTATCTTATTCTTTCATAACCTTACTCACTGTGTGTGTGTCTGCTTCATCTTTTAAATCAAACCTTCATTCAGCTTAGTTCATCCAACTAAAATGATCAAGACCTATGTGTTGACTGGAAAGAAATATAACACCAAACTACAGCGACTCTAGATATATTGGGCTTACGAGATATTTTCCATTTTCTGAGTATCAACAAGATTATATTGATAGCAAAGCCCAAAATTGAAACTCTGGCCTTGACACCACCTACCACTCTGTGTTACCTTGGCCAAATCACTTTCTCCATTTTTTTTTATTAGTCAAAGGAGGTTACACTTTCAACTTTTTTAAAAAAAGAAGTATATTTATTTGAGAGGCAATGCAATAGAGGGAAACACAGAGAGATTGTCCATCCACTGGTTCATTTTCCAAATGGCCGCAATAGGTCAGACTGAAGCCAGGAGCCAGGAACTCCATCCAGGTCTCCTTGTGGGTTGCAGGGACCACACATTTGGGCCCCAAGTACATCAGCAGGGAGCTGGAGTAAAAGCAGAGTGGCTCGGACTTGAATCTATTCTCCTAAATAGGATGCCCAGGTCACAGGTAGGGGTTTAAATGTGCCACACACTGATGCTACTTTCAACTTTAACCTTTTTGGGGGATCCTTAAAAAGTCCTGCTTGATACAACACCTTCAGGGTACAACCCGGCAGCAGGTTTCACAGGGATATACCTGTGGATCCAGGAATTCCCATTCCTGGAAATTCTTCCTATATATTTATATGGATATAATATGACAGCTATCCAGCCATTCTTTGCAATTTGCTGAAGACAGGAAAAAAGTCAACTGTTTACTTACATCCTACAGCTCGATAAGTTGGCATTGAAATGTATTGGTAGTCAGCTATAGAGACCTTTTCCTATGCAGTTTAAAAAAATATATATAGTGGGGAGCGGGGAAGGGAAATCCCCAAATCTGTGGAACCATAACATAAAATAATAAAAAAATTTAAAAATATGTTTTATATTTAGTTGAATGGCAGAGTTACAGAGGGGGAGAGACAGATCTTCTATCAGTTGGTTCTTTCTCCAAATGGCCCCAATTGTTAGGGTGGGCAAGCCAATCCTTGAACTTCATTCAGGTTTCCCATCTTGGTCACTTGGTCCATGTTCCACTGGTTTCCTAGGCACATTAGCAGGGAGCTGGATTAGAAGTGGAACAGCCAGGACTCAAGCCTGCACTCATATGGGATGGAAGCACTGCAGCAGCTTAGCCCACTGTGCCACAAGGCCCGTCCTTCAAAGTTTACTTGTGGGTCTGGGACGTTGGTACTCTAGGTTCTGTGTGTGCACTCCAAGTCACATTTTTATTTTAAATTTTTAATGAATTTACCTTGATTTGGGGAAGAGATTCGGACAATCTATTTTCCACGTACTGGTTCATGCTCCAGCCCAGGAATGGTAGAAGGGGGAGCTGGGAACTCCAATGACATCCCCTGCTCCCTCCCCGGGCATACAGCAGCAGGAAGGCCAGGGTGCACAGACACAGGCACACTGCTGTGAGGCTCAGGGGTCAAGAGTCATGCCAACAGCTGGGCCAAATGCCTGCCTCAAGTTAAAAAAAAATCTAGCAAAAGCAACTGGTGATCTATAAAGAAACCACCGGGCACAGCAGCTTCAGGGACTGCAAGAATTTCACCAAACACTCCTCTCCAACTCAGGCCCTGACAAATCCGATGGCAAATGAAGGCCACATTTGCAGGTGGCTGTCTGCCAAGAACGACCCGCTCCACCAGGGCCACGCCTCTGAGAAGGGTGTGGCTGGCTGACTCTGGGCTGTTTCTGCACAGAGGAATTGGAAAGGCTGGGCTGCCACAGTTGCTCACAGCCACCCTCTTTCGAGCTCATCTTCTGGGTTACTGAGGTCCCCTAGCGGCTGGCAGAGGAGCCCCGAGCTGTTCACAGTTCAGGAAACGTCAGCCGACCACGACCCAACAGCGGATGGGAACCTGCCCTTCACTCCAGTTCGATCAGCTCACTGTCCCCACCCTAACTGCCCCCAGTATCAGTAGAAGTTGAGGCGTGAATGGATTACGAAGAAATAGAGACCTGGGTCAGGGGAAATGATGGTGAGATTGTAAAGGAAGAAATAAATGTCTTTCTCCATATGTTTTTAAAAACTTTTTAAAGAGGCCTACTTTTCATGTTTTTTTTTTTTAATTGAGGAACTATTTGTAATAAATGGGATTCTTTTTAAATATCTGGGAGTAATCTTTTGGACAAGATATTAGAAACTGTCATGTCCATCTTCTGTTCTAAGTGTTCCCATCCCCTCTAAAAGGAAATGCCTTCCATATTCTTCCAAAGGGGAGGGAAAAAAAAAGCAAAACAAAACAGAACTAGAAAACTCTTTCTATTGCTCCATTCAGACACAAGAGCCATTGTATTCCCTCCGTTGGCCCCACTGATCCTGGACAGGGGCGTCCCAGAGCTGGAGCCCAGATGAGGAGAGGAGAAGGTGGGGGTGGGATGGAGGGATGGACGCAGCGGACAGCCCCAAACCCTGGAGGTAGGGGGCTTATCTCCTCTCCGATTTTCACACAATGCTTCATCACTTCATCACAATAAAAAAAAGCAAGTAAGCTAACTAGTAAACTTAACTACACACACGCCGGTGAACCTGTTCTCCCGGCAGCTTCGCTTTGCCGCCCCTGGCCCGTGTGGCGCCCACGGCCACGGGGGTCCCACAGAGCACGAGGGTCGGTGGCGCTGTGCGCGCCCAGCCTTCCTCTCCTTCCTGCCCCTTTTGGGTCCAGAGCGCAGCAGCTCCAGCCCCCGGGGGGCTGCGCGCACAGGTGGGTTCCAGCGCGTGGGCGTCCCGTGCTGGCGGGGCCCGGACCGCAGGGCCCACGGCGCCCGGGCTGGGAACGTGTGCGGCCCGAGCGCAGCGAGAACCCTGCACAAAAACAAACCCCGCCGACTTCCCCCGCAGCGCGCCGCGGAGACCTCGTGGGTGGAGCCGAGTGGGGGCGGCGGAGTGGAATTCCGCGCGGCCGCCTCCGCCGCCCGCCCCGGGGCCCGGGCCCTTGCCCTTGCCCGGGGTCCGAGCCCTTGCCCTTGCCCGGGGTCCGAGCCGAGGTCGGGGCGACGGGAAGCACTCGCTCCACTCGGGCTTGGCGAGTACTCGGCTGCGCTCCCTCCATAGTAAACAAAGTGTCGCCGCCGCCTCCACGCTGGTTGGCCTCCCAGCAATCAAAACAGGGAGAGGGCGAGAGACTGACAGAAACACTCGAGAATGACCAGAAAAGAATGACAGAGAGACCGCGCGCGCGCGCGCGCGAGGGAGACACACAGAGACCCTGTGTGTGTGTGTGCGTTCACCCCACAGAAAAACACCCCACTGCCCCCCGCCAACCCACGGCCGCCTCCTCGTGGAAAAGCAGCCTCCGCCCAGGCCCGCGCCCACTGGCTGCCCGGGCGGCGGCGCCGCGTGCCCATTGGCCGCGCGGGCTGTCCGTCAGGGGCGGGCCGGCGCGCGCGCCGCCGCGGGCGGGGGGCGGTGGCAGATCCCGTAAGTCGGGCAGCCGCGTAGTCGCTGCAGCCGCCGCCGCCGCCGCCACATTCAACAGGCAGCCGCGCTCGCGCCCCGCGGCGTCCGTCCCGTCCGCCCCTCGGCTCTGTCAGCAAGCCGCGCGGGCCCCTCGCCGGCTGCCCAGCCCGGCGGCTCTCGGCCGGCCCGTCCCCACGTCCGGTGCGGCAGCGAACCCGGAGCAACCTTGGATTTGGATGGACCCACGAAGTTAAGTTCTGGGCTCGCGCTTCCACTCCGCCGCTTCTTCCTGCCGGTTTCCGTTTGCTCGCGGCACCGACTCGGCCCTCTCTCCCTCCCCGCCGCTTCCACCCTTCACCCCCGTCGAGGATCCCGAGCCGGGCCCCGTGCGCCCTCTCCGACCCGCGCTGCGCTCCCCCCTCCCCTCCGCCTCCATTCTCGGGGCTCCGGCGGCTGGGGGAGGGGCGGGGGTCACCATGGCCGAAGCGCCTCAGGTGGTGGATGTGGACCCGGACTTCGAGCCGCTGCCCCGGCCGCGCTCTTGCACCTGGCCGCTGCCCAGGCCGGAGTTTAGCCAGTCCAACTCGGCCACCTCCAGTCCGGCGCCGTCGGGCGGCGCGGCCGTCACCAACCCCGACGCCGCGGCGGGCCTGCCCCCAGCCTCGGCGGCCGCTGTCAGCGCCGACTTCATGAGCAACCTGAGCCTGCTGGAAGAGAGCGAGGACTTCCCGCAGGCGCCCGGCTCCGTGGCGGCGGCGGCGGCAGCGGCGGCGGCGGCGGCCGTGGCAGCGGCGGCGGCGGCGGCGGCGGCGGCGGCCACCGGGGGGCTGTGCGCGGACTTCCAGGGCGCGGAGGCGGGCTGCCTGCACCCCGCGCCGCCGCCGCCGCCCCCGCCGCAGCAGCAGCAGCAGCCCCCGGCGCCCGGGCCTCTGTCGCAGCACCCGCCCGTGCCCCCCGCCGCTGCCGGGCCGCTCGCGGGGCAGCCGCGCAAGAGCAGCTCGTCCCGCCGCAACGCGTGGGGCAACCTGTCCTACGCCGACCTCATCACCAAGGCCATCGAGAGCTCGGCCGAGAAGCGGCTCACGCTGTCGCAGATCTACGAGTGGATGGTCAAGAGCGTACCCTACTTCAAGGATAAGGGCGACAGCAACAGCTCGGCGGGCTGGAAGGTGAGCCCCTGCGGGTGGGGGAGCGGAGAGAGGCGGGGGGCTACGGGCTGGGTCGCCGTCCGGGTCCCGGGGGGCTCGCGCGCGCGCGCGGGCGGGCGGCCGAGAGTGGGTGGGGAAGTGGCAGGTGCGGGGGGTTTACCCGGGCAGAGAGGAGGTGCGCGCACTGGGGAAAGAGTTGGCGGTGGGACAGGGAAAGGGGCTTGCCCGGGAGCCAAGGAGGGAAGAAAGTGTGTCAGGAACTGGGCGTCAAAGCGGGCAGGAAAGTTAGCCAGAGAGAGAGAGAGAGAAAGAGAGAGAGTTTCACGCGGAGCCGCTGCCCTTTTGCCCCTCGGACCTCCGTGGGGGAGGGCGCTCCTCTCCACCCTAGCAGCGCCGGGGGCCGTTTCCGCCTCGCCGGGCTGGAGGAGGACGCGAGGTGGGGGAGCCCCGAGACCTGCGCGGCACGGGGCCAGGCTGCAGGTGGAGGGGCCAGCCTCGGGCGTAATCGGCCCGGGACGGTGCGGTGCTGGGTGCGCCGCTTCAGGAGGCCAGTGCGCGCTTGGCTTTGTTTTGGTTTTTATCCCGGAGTAGCCTCGGGTCGCGGGGGACGGGGGGGAACGGGCGCCGCCGAGCTCGAGGGAGCGTCTCTGGACACGTGCGGAGGGGCGGCCACCGCCTGCGGAGCGCCGGCGCCCGGCGCGGGGCGAGCTAAGTTCAAGTGTGACCCTCGGCGGAGGCGGGAGCCGGCGGCGGCCGGGAGGGGCTGCGGGCACAGGAAGCGGAGGGCCTTTAAAGGGCCAGCTGCGGCGAGGCCGGCCCTGGTCCGCGCAGGGAAGCTTCTCCCCAAACATGGTCTTGGCCATCTTAGGACGGCTGTTCATTGGAAACACGGAGGCTGTCCCGGAGCTGGGAATGTGTGCGCATTTTCTTGGCCTTGCCACCTCAGGCGTTATGGAACGCTGGGGCACCGGTGGGGGCTGGCGAGGGGGCCGGGTGCCCCCCTGTGACTGCGGAGGTGCGCGCCCTGGGCGCAGCAGGACTTCATGCCCGGTGGACGGGAAGTGTTGACCAGGCGCCTTGCTTGTCCCCCTTCCCCTTCACTCCTGCAAAGCTAGGAAGGAAAAGACACTGAGTGGGGGCTGGCACATCCCTATCCCGCACTTGAAGGCCGAAGGCCCATGGGAGGTCCACTCGCAGTTCGGGTCCCTTCTTCCCGCTACCCCAAGATGACACTTTCTCACGGTCGCAGATGGGAGAAGGGATGTAAAAAGGCTCTCTACTTGAGTCATCCCTCCTCGTTGGCCTGCGTGTTGTCTGGGTGCGCTTTTGGTCTGAACCCGCGCGGTCTTTACAACCAATGCTTTACATGCCTTGTCATTTCTGTGCTGCGTCTGTGTCAGGAAGCTCAGGTTACTCACCTGGTACCCACTTCTGTTGGAGAAGGAACCAGGACTTATTTTACTTTTCCCTAGTGTGTTTTCAGAGTAGAGGTGTCTCTTCCAACCTCATTACTAGGCATCACGGTGTCATTTTGCCAAAGTGTTTGGAAAAGGTGAAGTAACTTCCCACTGTAGGCTCTGCGTACCCTATATTCTCGGTAAAATCACGTCCAACCCAATTTCGCTTAACATTGGGATTTAAATACTTGACAGGCTTGCTCCTCTGTCAGTCCTACTTAAGCTATTAAAAAGCATTTGCCATTGAATTTTTTTTTTCCCCTTGGCATTCAGAGTACAGTGTGTACTCACACCATTCTTCATGTCCTTGAAAATGGATACAACATACTTCAACTTGCTGGAGTAGCTTTCTTTAAAGATAAAGACGGCGTTTGGGAATATTTTTAGTTTGCCTCTCAGAAGGAATTGTCACGGTATTCTGAAGCTAGGAATATTGAAACTTTTAAGGCTTAGGCTTTGTGTGTGTGTGTGTGTGTGTGCGTGTGTCTAGGTTGTAAGATCCTCTCTTACCGTTTAATTAGTTATTTTAATGCAGGCGTAACTTTGCATTTTAAACTTAGGCGGATGAGGTGCTAAGTAGGACTAGCTGCCCTCCAAGGGCTGCTCTCCCTGGGACCCCTGAGCCTGGTCTGGGGCCGGGTGGACTTGTGTGGCTCTGAGGAGTAAGAGGTTTCAGGGGCAATGGGCGTCCGTTGGTGCAAGTCCGATTCCAGCAAGTGCATTTTCAGTTTGAGTAAAAGGGTATTTTAAAGAAAAAAAAAAAAAAGAAACACCCAGAACTGATCTAACTCATAACTAGTTTTCTGGTTAGACTTTTCTGCAAGATGAATTACTTGTGAAAACCCAGTTTCACTCTCAGATCTGAAAGGCTCTGCTCCGAGGAGTTATAAAAGGGAGAAATTGTACTATGACTTAAAAAAAAATCCAGTTCCAAAATGCAGATTAGCCAAAACTTAACTGTTTTGGGAGAGCCTGTTTTGGAACAAAATATTTCCTGTGATTGACTACTGGGAATCAGAGGGAATGTTTAATTAGATATAGTTGCTTGTGCTTTACTTCCTGGGCCTGCTTGAGAATTTGAAAGTCATTTGCGTAGGACCGGAGTTGGAAACCTGTTAGAGGGTCCAGAAGCCTTTTTCATAGTTGAGGCATAGACATGTCCTGCTGGTGGGGTTGGCGGCTTAGGTCTCTTAGCACCTGTTTTAATATGGGCTAGCCTTGTCATAGGGTCTCCCACGGAGTGGAACTGACGATTTATGGAAAACCCGGGATCTTCTAAACCGTGTGCAGTGTTTACAAATAGTGAAACTTCATTTCCATGACTTGTTCTCTGACATAGAAACCTTTCTAACACTTGGGAAGTAGTATTGTAAGCTCTGGGGGAAAAAAAAATAGTTTGTTGTAGTTTTGAGTTGACTTTTTTGGTTTTGATATTGTTTGAAATATAATCTGGATTACAAAATGCTTTAGATTATAATGCTGAACACTTATTCAGGATATCTTTTGATTATTTTTATTGTGAACTAGCTTAGATATACTTTGAAATTTATTTTGGTCTGGTCTGTGAACTGACAGCATGTTTTTAAATTCCCATCTTGTGTAATTGGGGTTTCTGCTGCAGGTGAGTCATGGGGATCCCTTGGGGAACATGGTCGTGTGCCACAGCCGCCCTTGACCCTGGGCAGAGGACCCCAGGAGGCTCTCGTCTGGCTGAAATTACCTGAAAGGAAACTTTTTTTATGGAGTTTGGATATCTGTAGTTGGGCGAGGAAAATGAATAAAGCGTTAAAAATGGATGAGGGGTTCTGGAGCTAAGTGGTATCTTTCTTTCAGAGGCTTAGAGTTAATCTGAGTCTGTTCTGAATATATTAGCAACCGAAACATTTTGATCCATCGTCCCAAAATACATGCTGGACCCCAGCACCTTCGATGACATTCAGAACCCTGTGTTTACTGTCTTCCTGTGCGTTGTTGTCACTTTGGGAGAATGGAGGGGAGAGTGGCTCCTGTTTTTGAATGGTACTCAGCTTTTGTAAGTGGCAAACATTGGAGTAACGAAGAGAAGGTGTTTTTAACTATTACGTAAACTTTAGAGCAGCTGAAGTTGTTTGAGATTCTCACGTTGGCAGTAGGCAGTCAGCACATACCCGTGTCACTACATTTCATGGTCTGCACAGGGACTGCTCTCAGCAGCTGGGTGAGCTCAGGCCAGGGGCAGGATCCGCAGGGGGAAGCTGGGGTCTGGAGGGGTCTGGAAGTATTTTGCTTGTCTTCCTCCATGCTTTCAAACTGCAGTTTTGGGACAGACTTGGAGCAGTTGTATGCATTTACCTGGAGTACCTTAGGGGACTAGGGTAGGGGGGACTCAGCTATTTACATTTTTCTGGAATATTCTGCTTTGGAAACTACCTTGTACCCTGGCATCATGGGAATTTACCCAGTTTTTTGGGGGTGGCGGTGCTGGTATTGTTTTGGTGTGTGTTGTAGCTTTGGAGCTCCCTGGAATCCTCTACAAAAGGCAGTTTAAAATCCGTAATGATTGGCAAGAGGAGAGTTTTCCATTGTGCTGGAGGCAGAGCAGGTTTGTCCCTGGTTCCCAACACCTTGACCTTTATAGCAACCAGTGATTGAGTGTTGCCCAGAACCCCTTGGCAGCACCCTTGATGCAGATCACCCTCGCTGCATTCAGGGTTTTGAAGTTGGTGTTCTGAAAGAGAGGGCCAGGCAAAGCTGAAGTGGTTATTTGGATGGTGAAGTGTGGGAATGGCTTGTATACAGTTCAGTGGGTTTGCTGTATACAAATATGTTTAGTTTAGTCCTAGCCTTGAACATGCTGGGATCCCATATGGGCGCCGGTTCTAATCTCGGCAGCCCCGCTTCCCATCCAGTTCCCTGCCTGTGGCCTGGGAAAGCAGTCGAGGACCGCCCAAAGCCTTGGGACCCTGTACCCGTGTGGGAGGCCTGGAAGAGTCTCCTGGCTTCGGATTGGCTCAGCTCCAGCCTTTGCGGCTGCTTGGGGAGTGAATCAATGGATGGAAGATCCTCCTCTCTGTCTCTCCTCTCTGTACATTTGACTTACCAATAAAAATAAATAAATCTTTAACAAATATATATTTAGTTGTATAAGAATTCTTCCTTTTAGTTGATTGCTAGCTGACAAATCAGTGTCACATTTTGTGTTGACTGTTGTCTTCTAAGGAACACAGGGAACAATGAACATGTATTTTTGTAAATTGATAGTTTGATGCAGCTCAGTGCTTTATTACGCGAGTGTTTCAGGTTACTCTACTTGGCCCTCCTGTGTTTCATCAGCTTGTGTTAAGCACTGAAAATACTGAATATCGAATTGAATTATGCTTGCTGCTTGGAAGGTATTTGGACACCTTCTGATTTTCTTTGTAAGATAGTCGTGTGTGTGTTTAAAGATTTATTTTATTTTCATCGGAAAGTCAGATCCTTCATCCATGATTCACTTCCCAAGTGACTGCAATGGCTGGAGCTGAGCCAATGCGAAGCCAGGAGCCTGGAGCCTCTTCCAGGTCTCCCACATGGGTGCAGGGTCCCAAGTTTTTGGGCCATCCTCGACTGCTTTGTTAGGCCACAGGCAGGGAGCTGGATGGGAAGCAGGGCTGCCTGGAGCAGAACTGGCACCCACATGGGATCTTGGCATGTGCAAGGTAAGGGCTTTAGCTGCTAGGCTACCATGTTGAGCCCGAAAGATAAAGTCTTAAAAAAATCAAAATAGTAAAGCAAACTGGTTTTGTTGTTAAGAGTAATCACAATTGGAAAGCTAAACCTTTAGCTGATTTTCAACATGTCATTTAGTGATTTTTTTTAACCTTAGCATTACTTAAATAGGGGCATAAAGTCAGCGTTGAGTCCTTCATTTCATGTGAGAGCCCTGAGTGGTGTTTAGCTTTTGTACTGCTGATTCTGGCTTCTGTTGGTGACTGAAGCTGTACTCTTGGTGGTCGGGAATCCCTGGAAGCCTGGGGGCGGAGTAGGATGTGGGAAGTGTTCCCTTTTCTGGATTTTGCTTTGAGCAGCCCTGTCTTAGCTGGGCTGTGTGACCCGGTACAGCTGTGCTCTTTCCCTGCACCACCCAGCCTCTTTACTCTCTGGCTTCTCAATTAAGGCATCCCCTGTTTTTTCCTGTTCTAGGTATCTTACTCTCCTCCTTTGCCTACTATGTCCCAGTTACCTAAGGGCCCTACGTATTTCACTTGGACCTCCAATTCAGCATGTCCGACACCAAACAATGTGTTTCCCTGACTCTGGGGTGTGATTTCCAGGTTGAGGTCCCCAGTGGGTCCCTGGTCTAGTTAGCCCTTTCCCTAGTTTTAGGCTTAGATGTTCATCCTCCTTTCTGGTTATTTTGTGTCCCCGGGGCTCTCTTGAGACTTTTCTGTTCCCAGCCACTGACCATTCCCCTAGGCTAGCTTGCATTTCAGGCTTGGCCAGCCGATCCCCAGAGCTTGGATCGCTATGTGTGCCCTACTGGAAATTCTGCAGATCTTGCTTAGTCTGCAAGGATCAAGTCAGTTCACCAACTTGCAGTCTTGGCTCTGGCCCAGAGGAATTTCTGCCTTCTTTGAGTTAATGCTGAGCAATCTTTTAATTCAGGCAGCTGAGTATTATAATGTAACTTTAATGTCTTTATGTTTTTGTTTCTCAGTTATATGGTAAATATATGGTTAGGGAAATAAAATTTCCTGAAACATTACATCTTGTGTATTTCAGCTTTGGCTGTGTAATGATTATCATAAAATGCATTATGCAGAATGGTTTAAGTGGTACAAGTGAAGAACCGATTATTTCCAGTGGATGTTCAGAGTGTGCCCCGCCTTTGTGGATGATTGCTCTGTAGAAGATGTGCTGCAAGGTGTTTTTGAATGGCAGGTGACTCAAAAGAAGATCCAGTAGGAAGGTTAGATATGACGTGTAGTAACTACGATAACAAGATAGGAAGTAGTGAAGTGCCTTAGACAAGGGCAGAACGTTGCATTGGCCATTGAACTGGGCCTCGAAAGTGGGACTCTGTTCCATCAAGATTCTGCTATGTTGAATTTTTCCAAATCTTCAACAAAGTTGAAACAATTATACCTTGAACAACCACTTATTTACCACTTCATTGCTATTGTTGTCAGTTCTACTTGTTCTATCGTAAATCTTTCTAAATTAAATGCCCATCGATTTTCCTATGTATATTTATCTTATTTTAAAATTTAACTTTGAGATGATATTCTGGCATTCATAATGGTATGAAAATCGGGGGAGCATTAGTTTCTCTGATAGAAGAAATACAGAGAGTTTGAAAGGTAACTAGTGGGAAAGGAGGGTTAAACTTGGATTTTACATGTGTTAGGAAAATAATACCGTGTTATAGGCTGAACTCTGTTTTTATAATGTAAAAATTATGAAAATAGGGTTACATTTTTTCAAATGCATTTTAGAAATGTAGTTATACACCAATTAGATTTCAAAACTGGTATACAGTTTCATAATACATGAAAGTGATTATGTAATTGACTTATGTTAATGGTTAGCATTTACAAAATATTTAGCTCTTTGCTTGATTTGTGTGTGTGTGTGTTTGCCTTTCAAATAGATTTATTTTAACTTAAGAGGCTCTGTGGATGGGCGGTGGTGGTGATGGTGGAATATATAGTATGTCCCCAGTAGCTGGGGCTGAGTTAGGGCCCTTCCTCTGGGATTGCATGTGAGTGGGACGTCACACACACTTGAGCTGTTAACTGCTGCCTCTCAGGGTGTGCATTTACAGGAAGCTGGATCGAAAATGAGTCCTGGCCTCCAACCAGGCCCTCGAACCTGGGGTACAGTTATCCCAAGAGACTGCCTGTCCGTGTTACAACTTTTGTTTCAGTTTAATTTGTTTTGTAAATGTAACTTGTGTGGCCAGTGTGCTGGTGGTAGAATGATTCAAAGAAAGATTACTATTAAATGTAATTCTTGGATTAATGTTTTCATTTTTGTAAAAGTTTATTTATTTATTTTTATTGGAAAGGTAGATTTTACAGGAGTGCTGGTTCACTGCTCAAATGGCCACAGTGGTTGGAGCTGAGCCGATCCAAAGCCAGGAGCCAGGAGCTTCTTCTGGGTCTCCCATGTAGGTGCAGGGTCCCAAGGCTTTGGGCTGTCCTCTACTGCTTTCCCAGGCCACAAGCAGGGTGCTGGATGGGAAGTGGAGCAACCATCTAATGCCCATACGGGATCCTGGCATTTGCAGGGTGGAGGATTAGCCAGCTGAACCTTGGTGCTGGCCTTTGAAAAAAAAATTTTTTTTTTTAACAAATTCTGCGTTGAAGTTAACAGCCTTAAAATGTTCATAAACAATTGTGAAGAAAACGTATGTTGGCTTAAAAAGATGTTTGCAAATTTAAATGTCAGCTCTGGTATTGCCCTGATTAATATTAGATATGCTTGATAGATTTCTCATTATAATTTATTAGTATCTGGTAACCCAAGTGCAGGAGTGAGTATAATCATAAGAAACGGTTTGGTGGATCCAGAGGAGATTAAATTTAGACAGACCTAACTTAAAAAACCTAAGGTATTCAAACTAGTTGGTGTAAGTTGGACTAGCTAGTGATGAGTTGCAAGTAAAAGTATATATGATGAACATTTTTATTGTGGTATAGCAGAAGCACAAATATAGATTTGAATAAAACTGATGAAGCATTTAAAAATGAGTATTGAAGTGAAGGAAGATGTTTTACATGTGCGTGTGTGTGTAGAGAAGCAGGCATTTTTTGAAAGACTACCTGCTGGAGGGTGGGAGACGGAGTAACAATAGATTGAGAGACCCACTAGCATACAGTGAGGTTTTAAAGCATACATTATGTCCCAGGTGGAGAAAGCAGCTTGCTAGATGGATCAGGATTTCACAGTTATGTGATTGTTAATGACGCTAGGCTAAACTGCTTAAAAATCAACTAGGAAACAATGTGATGACATTGGGCCTGTCTGATTGTTAGTAGATCCGGTAGAGTTCAGTTTCCATCTGTCGTCAGTCTTTTCGCTCTGTGAGTGGACGGGTGGGTAATACAGCTGCAGCTGCTTATCTGGGTTTTCATTTTCAGGGGAATGTGTCGGTGTTTGGTCCAGCAAGTAGGAGAGGTAGAGTTCACTTTGGGGACTGTATTGCTCCTTTGTGACTTCTCTGCCTTCTCAGAGAGGGGCGCCCTGCTGTGTTAAGGGGCTCGGTGGTCACGTGGGAAGTGCTGTTGTCTCCAGCAAGGCTAATTTCTCTTACACACCCCCAGACAGCTCACTTTGAGTGTGATTGGTTCCAACCTCTCGGTACCAATCTTTGAGACTGAAATGGAAAGTTTCTGTCATGCTGTATTTTTTTTTTCATCCAAGTTGAGATTTGTTTTAATTACAGTTTTGTTCTATGTGTGGCCAGAGTTACAGAGCTGGTCCTAATGATATACCTCATGACGCTAATAGCCGTAGAGATGGTGCCCAGCCTCATCTGATTAAAGCTGTGCCACGATGAGAAAGTGGTTAGGAAAAGAGGGGCAACCTATTTTTCCCTTGGTCTCTCTTGTTTGATTAAAGATGTTTCTTGGCCAGATTTTTCTTAGTTCCTCTTCACAAATCCGGAAAATGGGTCATGTTTTTTTTTTCCCCCATTAAAAAAAAAAAGATACCAAGGGAGGGAGGGAAAGAGTGAGAAAGTTTCCATCTGCTGGTTCACTCCCCAAATGGCTGCATTGGCTGGGGCTGGGCCAGGCCAAAGGCAGGAGCCCAGGACTCTAGCAATCCCGTGTGGATGGCAGGTACCCAGGTACTTGCTGCATCTTCCGCTGGTCCCAGGTGGGTTAGCAGGGAGGTGGATCAGAAGTAGAGCAGTGGCTTTCCAATAAGAATAAAATAAATCTTAAAAAAGAAGTGGAGCAGGTAGGACTTGAACAGGTACCCACATGGGATACCGACATTGCAGGCAACTAGCAGCTTAGCTTGCTGTGCCAGAAAGCTGGCCCCTTGGTTCCACATCTTGAAGTTAATGCTGCAGTCCGGATCCTAATGCAGAGAGCCTTCATTCTGGATTTGCTCAGTTTTGAGTTTCAGAGTTTCTTCAGTAAACTTGGCATTGGGAAAGGGTGGGGAACTTGTCATTGCGTTTTGTAAGTGTACCAAAGCAGCAGGAGTGTGATTAGGGTTCCAGGTCATGCTTGGATCCTAGGCAAGAGGAGAACCTGCGGAAGGAAGGGAAGGGAAAGTGGCTTGGGTTTTGTGGGAAGACACAGAAGCCCTCCATGGCTGCTGAGGAGTTAACCGGGGCCCAGAGGCACTAAGCTCTGCTTCTTCCGTGTTTTTGCATCTCCTTTCCTGTATCAATTTTCCTTTTTTAATTTTGAAAATGAGTGCTTTTGCTCCACCAGGCAGCAGACACCTCACAATGCAGGTGGTGGAGGGAAGCCCTCTCTGGTTTCTCAGTGCCAGGTCCCCATACATGGAAACTTCTGGAAGGATTGGCCCTCCAGCTTTGCATAGATGACAAGGGTAAGAATGCAGAGGCACTCCTACTGTGTATCTAAAAAATGCACGGAGATCTCAGATCCACATTGCAGAGGGAAATCGTAAAGGAATCACCTTGTTTTCAGGCTTATAATACTGTGTGTCCTTCAAAGCTTGAAAACCAAATAACCACATAAATATTTGGGAATAGTCTGCAAGTGAATGTCAAATGCTTCAGATAGTTTGGTTGCTTGGAAGCAAGGTCAAAGGAAATGGTTTGCATATGGTTTAGCTAAAGATCCTTATTTTGGCAGGGTCTTGGTAGTGACAGTCACAGTGTGAATTTTGTTGTGCCACCGAAAACTCCCCCCATCGCCCTCTCCCAGCCCCAGTTGTTCTCATACAACCTTAAGCGTAGGATTGGATAAATAATATTCAGATACGTGCTTCCCATCTCCAGTTTGTCCGCCAAGATTAGATGATGTAGTTTAACTGCCGCCTCGAGGGTTAATGTGTGCAGAATCATGGATTTGTCACACTAGGTGTGGGTGCAGGGTCAGGGTCGGCTACCTACTGTGAGTTGAATACAGGATAAACCCAGCTCCTTGAAGGCAAGCGTCACCATGACTTCATCCGTGGGCATCATCAGGAAGCTCCTTGTCTGTAGGGCTGGCTCTGGGCGGGGGGGGGGGGGGGGAGTGGTGAGGGGGCTGGGGACTGGGACAGCTGTAAATACCAAGTTTTGTTTGTCTACTCGGTATCTAGCTAGTTGCAGCTCTCAAACTTGAAACTAAGATTTCTTCTCTGGATGGGTGAACGTAGGGAACCTCATGAAATCTCTGCGGTGCATGGGAACACTTTCTGTGAACCATCCTAGCAGAGTTTTCTGTCAACTGTTATCAGTCTCCTACTGCTTGAGAATGCCATTTTCCCTTTTTTTCCTGGCCCATTGTGACATTTGCACATCTTGAACCGGAAAGATTCTTTAGTCGCATTCTCTTCTGTTACCTGTGCTGAGCAGTTTCTTGAATTTGGGAAATCTGTGAAATAGAATGGATTATGTAAGGCCTAGATTGATTTTTTTTTAAAGATTTTAAATTTTTATTGGGAAGGCAGATTTAACGTAGAAAAGGAGAGGCAGAAAGATCTTCAATTCTCTGGTTCACTTCCCAAGAGGGCACAGTGGCTGGAGGTGAGCTGATCCAAAGCCAGGAGCCAGGGGCTTCTTCCAGCTCTTCCAAAAGGCTGTAGGGTCCCAAGGCTTTGGGCTGTCCTCGACTGCTTTCCCAGGCCACAGGCAGGGAGCTGGATGGGAAGTGGAGCAGCTGGGACATATGAACCATTGCCCGTATAGGATTCTGGCACAGGCAAGGCAAGGATTTAGACATTAAGCCATTGCACTTGCTCATGGATTAATTTTTGTTATGCTTTTAGGCTTTTAAATCATAATTGAACAGTGATTTTAAACACTTAGCATTTGATAGCTTTCTGTTTTACAGGAGCTTATCAGAATGGTCTTCATTGCTTTTTCCCCTCTCCTATGATATTTGCTGTTATTAAAAAGTTAATGTTGAGGACATTTTTCAGGGTTCAGCATTCCTATAATTAGACAGGTTTGATGAGCTTCCCAGCCTGTGGGGTTCAGCAGTGGCGCTCCCCCAGCTGTGCACACACTGCTGTGTGGCAGCCCTCCCGTGGGGGTTGATCCCAGGAATTCTGAGACATTTCGTTCAGGTGCTTTTGAAGTTTCTTAAATTGCCACTTCTAGCATGTTTGATACTCTGAATTTGATGCAATACTTGAAATGCTGAGAACATAACTATAAAACTCCAAAAGAATGCTGATGATTAAAATCAAAATGCGAAAGCCTGATTGGTGCAAGTTGTAAGAATTCCCGTGTCTGTTGTTGAGTGTGTGGCCTGACCCTGCGCCTGTGCTGCCGGGGGGTCTTTCCCCTGGTCTCTAGCCACCCTTTTGGAGACTGTGCTGTTTTGTGACCCTGTTAACCTGGAATGTTCTTTGCTAATATTAAGCTGTTCAGCCCACTTCAGTTTCAAGCCGTGTAAGAAGTAGTTCAATTATTAAACCTTGTGCCATTGCCATTGTTAGTGTGGCAAATGAGAATATTGCATTGATAGAGATGTACCCATATCTATGCTGATTGATTTTTTTCTCCTACAGCGATTAAAGGTGCATATTTTAAGTAAGTTTTTGAATTTATTACTGTTTGATTACTTGCCTTACGAGTTGTATTTCTCAAAAGAAGAACTGAAAATAATGGTCATTGTGCTGTGCGACCGTGTTGAACAGTAAATGGTCTTGGGTATGTCAGATGCTGAACAATTCAAAAAGGAGCCTACTTACTTTCTTGATAAAGCAGGGAGGCATTGTAAGGAAGGGCCAGCTGGGTCTGGTTATGATTCTTAGCTTAGCCACGGCTTCCGCCCGTGTTTGTGTAGAAGAGGCAGGAAAAAGCGTGAGGAAAGCCCTTTGAACCACGGAAGTCGGCGGTGGAGGCCCATTCTACTCCAATTGACAACTTGGGGCTTCCAATTAATCCTCATTTACACTCTTTATCCACATTTGTTTTTCAAATAACTCATCTTACTATTTTGTAGTTTTATTTTTTATTTATTTATTTTTTTACCGCCACCCCCCCAACTCATTTTAGAGAATACTGGGGGGGGGGACAAGTAAGGAAGTAAGAGCAATAAAATGAAAACTTGAAAAATTTCATATTCTGAGGTAACACATCAGAGAGATTCTTTGCATGACTCAATTCCTCCTGGTCCTTAACTGAATACACCCATGGGATTTGAAATGGAGACATCTCTTCCCCCCCACCCCCCCCCATCATGTGTCTTATTAAACTTGTTTCTTTGTGGCTTGCTGAAACTATTTCAGGGATTCTCCTAAAAAAAAAAAATCAACATTGGCTTTTATTAAGCCAGCTTCCCAGCCGTGTGTTTGTGCCTTTTGCTGAAAACCTGGCCCCGAGGGGAGTTGTGTGGCTTAGACCCTGGCCCGGAAGGAGTACCTTTCTGCGCCTTCCTGCAAACTTGGGCCAGGGAGCCTCACTTCCAGGGCCCGCTAACTAGAGCATAATGACTTGTGAGACCACATTTATTGTGCAAATGAACTTGAATATTCCCAGGACAGCAAACTCTCGAAGAGGCTTGGAAAACTTAATTTAATGCCCCTTCTATCCTTCATCAGACTCAACCTTTGGGATTTCTAGTTTACTTAATTCTGGCTATAAATACAGTAATAGTATTTCAGTTTGGCCAAATATGGGGCATGCCCTTTGTCATCCTGCTTGGCTGTGCTTGGGAATTTAACATCCTTCAATTTAGATGGAATTCCCTTGTTTTGTTTCCTGTGATAGTGAAGGGAAATGCACGTTTTGGCTCTTTCAACCAGAGGTGGAGGAAGACAGGAAGAAAGTAAAATTGGAATGCATAATAGGTTATTAATGGCTATTTTTGCTGGGTGTGGTTGAATTGGCATAGTTTCATGGAAGTCAGAATGCAAGTAATTAGTGGAGAACACTAGAAAATGCCATAATCACATTTAGTTTTTATTTTCTTTGATCTGAAAATTTTTTTTTTTTTTATCATTTTGGCATTTTCAGGTCTTTGGTTTACTTTTAAGCACAGGTGGTGGAAAGAATTACAGTTGCTGTTATGTCTTTGTGATGCCTTTTGCTTGCCCTAAGTGCATTTGTGACAGCTGAGAAGAGCTTAACAAAGGGACCTGCTTGTATTGCTTTCAACAGGAGAGGAATGCTCCCAAGGAAAACTTTGTGTTTCTGTTTCCTGAATGTAATCAGAACCACCGGCAATAATTACTCACTTTGAATTATCATGGAATTCAAGTACACAAAATTTGATTCAGTGGAGAGAAATGTTGAAATCAGAGTTTAACAGTTATTTCCTTTTAAAAGTCTCAAGAGTCAGATTTTGTTTTAGGTGCTGTAAACACCAAGTGTGAGCCGCCAGCCCCCCTCAAAAAGGCACGGGTTTTGTGTCTTTCATGCCCAGCTACTGCTGCTAACCTGGGCAGACAGGTTCAAGTTCTGGTTTGCAAGGAGTCATTTGCACTGTTTGCAGATAGCCGTTCAATGAAGAATGCCCTGTGTAGCCTTCTGGGACTTTGAAAGAACAAATCTGAATTGAGAATACCCCTTTTTGGTCACCTCTTGCTCTGTCAGTTTTTTTTTTCCAACTCTTTGTTTTCCTTTTCATTTTCAGCATCTCATTTGAAATACTTGATTTGAATATATTCCCCTAGTCAGTTAATGTAAATTACATGAAAATTTTAAAGATCATCACTGTTGGGCCTGGCGGCTTGGTCTAGCGGCTAAAGTCCTTGCCTTGAACACGCCAGGATCCCCTATGGGCCCCGGTTCTAATCCCGGCAGCTCCACTTCCCTTCCAGTTCCCCGCTTGTGGCCTGGGAAAGCAATTGAGGACGGTCCAATGCTTTGGGACCCTGCACCCACGTGGGAGACCTGGAGGAGGTTCCTGGATCCTGGCTTCAGATCGGCATAGCATCGGCCGTTGCCCTCACTTGGGGAGTGAATCATCGGATGGAAGATCTTTCTCTCTGTCTCTCCTCTTCTCTGTATATCTGACTTTGTAATGAAAAATAAGTCCTTACAAAAATAAAGATCATTAGTGTTGCTTGTGTGTTTTTTACATTCACTATAGCCACTGCCTTTTGGAAATAGTCACCAAATCGTCATGGACTTGATGGATGTAGCAGTATTTGCCAGTAGACAATGTGCTGCCTGACATTGTCTGTGTAGGAGTTCTCGATGTGCTGAACTGTGTAACAGCAGCTTTGCAGAGTCACAGAGATCAGTGTTTGATTTTTAAAACCATCTCCTGAGGCAGGAGCCCTTGCTTGGTCATTTGGAGGTTTTGAGAGTTTGCTGTCTGCTACACTGCTAGAAAGTTTATTTCTGTATTGAGCTTGTGGTTTCTCTTAAGAATCCAGCGTCTCCCGTTCTTGGCTTGCTTGTGATCCTGCATTTAGGAGCTACCTTGCCTTAGCCTGATTCACTTCAGTTTTACGTACAGGGAGGAAGTGAATGTCAAGATACAGGACCCCAAACTGAGTCTTCTGTTCCAGATGGAGAATGACCAATGAGAAGTGCACAGTGGGGGGTCAGTGATGCCCTTCCGGGGAGTTCTGTGTCTGGCAGGGTGTCCTGAGAAAGTTTACACTATGTACGAGGTAGGTAAATAGGAAAGAAGAGCCCTGTGCATTTTTTTTTTTTTTAAATTTAGGGGTAGGCATTGTGGTGAAACCACTACCTGCAGTGCTCGATTTCCTAGGGTTGCCAATTTATAAGCCAGCAGCTCCACTTCTGATCCAGCTCTCTGCTAATGGCCTAGGAAAAACAGTGGAAGATAGCCTAGCTGTTTGGGCCCCTGCAGGCACTTGCGCAGACTCAGCCCTGGCTGTTGCAGCCGTCTGGGGAATGAACCAGGAGGTGGAAAAATCTCTCTCCTGATCACTCACTCTGACTTTCAAAAAATCAAATCTTTAAAAAGGTAAATTAAAATAAATTATATGAAAGGCAGCTTGGGGGCTGATGCAAAGATGTTCCATCCAGTGGCTGGCTGGGCTGGGAAGAAGCTAGCAGCTGGAAACTCCATCTGGGTCTCCCCTGTGGGTGACGGACCCAACTGCTTGGGCTGCTGCCTGCTCTTGCCAGGGTGCACATTAGCAGGAAGCTGGAATTGGGGGTGGAGCCAGCACTTGGATGTTCTGATGCAGGAAGCAGGCATGCCAAATGTCCTCTTAACCACTGTCCCGGACAGCTGCCCCCAGGCTTGAATAGCCTAACCTGTGTTTGGAGGATGGTGGTAATATGCATGACTCTTGGCATGAATAAGCTACAAGCCACATTAAGCAAGGTTCGTAAAGAGGACATCTGCAAGTGGAGTGACTTATGAGAATGAGCTATATTGAAGCTATGGTGTCTGAGATTTTAAGCTAAAAATGTAAGAATGTGTTTGGGCCCAACGCGGTAAAGTCCTCGCCTTGCATGCACCAGGATCCCATGTGGACTCCAGTTCGTGTTCTGGCAACCCTGCTTCCCATCCAGCTCCCTGCTTGTGGCCTGGGATAGCAGTCTTTGTCTCCTCCTCCATATATCTGACTATCCAATAAAGATAAATAAATCTTTGTCTGACCCTATTTTTACTAATTTTAGTTTGTTCTGGTCAATAGGACCCCTGAAATGGTGAAGGAGTGGGAGGGAAACCAGTTTTGTGGCAAGTGAAAGTCTGGATGTGGAGGTGTAAATTTCTGCTGAATCTGCATCAGAGTAATGTGCCCTGCTTGGTGTCGGGGGAAGAGAGAACTGGAGACCATCAGCAATACTGGCATGCAGGATAAGTGATCGAGATAGAGGCGTTGTGCTTGGGATGCCTGCTTCCTGTGTTGGAATGCCAGTGAGTCCTGGTTTCTCCACTTGAGATCTAATGCCCTGCCATCCAAATTCAAACAACAACAGCACAAACCAGAGCTATTCAGCTACTCATGGCCATTTTAGTGTGCTAGGCAGACGTTGTTATCAGCTGTTCTCATTGAACTAAAACTGCTTTTGTGCTTCAAGTCTTGACCTTGTCTCTAGCCATGAACTGGTTTAGCAAATTCTGCTGCATTCCCACTGCACCTGTGCTGAATGCTAAAATTAATGAATTTTGGCTTGGATGGTATAGGCCACTTTCATTCTGGTCTAGAAAAACTTGGAATCTTGGTTGAATTGAAGTCTCGTACATTAGTAAAAGGAGCAAGATTTCCCTCCTTCCTCCCTCCCTCCTTCCTCCCTCCCTCCTTCCTCCCTCCCTCCTTCCTTCTTCCCTCCCTCCCTTCCTTCCTTCTTTTTTCCTTCTTTCCTTTCTTCCTTCCTTTCATACTTAGTGCTATTGAGAGAGAATGTGGCCCCACTGTTTTGGGTGGATCATTCTGCTGATATGTATCTTCTATGTTGTCCCAGCCAACCAGGCCCTGTGTGATGGGATCTCCTTTTTTTGAGGATTCTCTGCTTCAGTAAACAACTGTGGACATTTTCTGCACCTCAGTTGGGCTCTTGTCTTTTGGCTTCTAACCAGTCTTCCTTTTGTTCTTTTATCCCATCTTCTTCCAGACTCCTGTATCTTTTTCTTCAGCTTAAGGCAGCGAAATCCCTACTCTCCTTGCCAGGCCGCAGGAAAGCATGCTTTGCCTTCTTGGCTGCCTGTGGGGTGGGGTGTGTAAGGAAGAGTCTGTGCTATCTTAGTCACAGGTTGTTGGGGGTGTTTCATTTTTGTTCCTTGTCAATGTCTTTGACACCTATAATTTTAGACGGTGCCAGTGTGTCTACACAGCAAGCTTGGAGATCTCTGTCCGAAAGGTACCAGTTTTCTAGCACATCCTGGGAGAATGCCATTTGATCCACCCCGGGCTATTCCAGAATTGGTGGTTGGAGTCCTTTTCAGAACTGTCAGAGTTCCCTCTAGCATCTGCGGCTTATCATGTCTTCAGAGGCGCAGTCCATATCTGTAAGTGTGCAGTAAGTATTAGGGGAGTGGTGGATTCTGTTTCTAGATTGCTAACCAGATAACTCATATTTAGACAGGTCACATCACTGCTGTACCAAGCTTCTTCCTCTATGAAATGGGGTTAATGATACTGTTTGGGAGTACTTGCAGGACCAGTTGAGGTGCTCAGAGCAAGGAGCGGGGTAATTCTGCTGCATTATGCAATTCAGCGTTAGCCAGAATACCTGAGCATAAAGTCCAGGGAGCCTGGGAATCTGGGGCTTTAATGTTTTATTTGTGGGTTTCATGATTATATGAAAGATTTTAGGATTAAAAACAGATCAGGACCAAAGAAATAACCGAAACGCCTAATTAGACCTGTATTTCCTAATTCTCTTTGTAATTCTGTAGCAGGTTTGATGAGGGCACTATAGGAAAGCTGTGTAATTTCTATGTCTTGGAATAACTTTGATGGGAGGAAGGGAATACATGGCAGTGTGAAAAAGCAGAATTTAAAGTAGTGTGTAAACTGCTTCTAATTGTCTGCAGTATCATTGTAGAGCTGCATCTAGGAGGAAACACACCTAAATGGGAGTGGGGAGTTGTACTAAGTGTGGGTAAATTACTTGTTCTTCGTATTTGCCCTTTTCTTGAACAAACATTTAATAGCAGCATTAAGTTTTTTGAAATGAAAGTGCAGTTTGTGGTTTTCAGTGTCCTCTTTGAGAGAATGTTGGAATCAGCCAAGTGCTGAACTTTAAGGTGAGTGATATGGGTGAGTAGACTTGAGTCTTTTCTTTTTTTTTAAGATTTTATTTGGAAAGTCAGATATACAGAGAGGAGGAGAGAGAGAAAGATCTTCCGTCCGATGATTCACTCCCCAAGTGAGGGCAACGGCCGATGCTATGCCGATCTGAAGCCAGGATCCAGGAACTTCTTCCGGGTATCCCACACGGGTGCAGGGTCCCAAAGCCTTGGGCCGTCCTTGACTGCTTTCCCAGGCCACAAGCAGGGAGCTGGAAGGAAAGTGGAGTTGCCAGGATTAGAATCGGTGCCCATAGGGGATCCCGGCGCATTCAACGCGAGGACTTTAGCCACTAGACCAAGCCGCTGGGCCTTTTTTTTCTTTTTTAATAAGATTTATTTTTATTTGAAAGGCAGATTTACAGAGAGGAGAAAGAAGTTTTCATTCACTGTCTCACTCCCCAAATGGGTTATAAGTGGAGCAATTGGTATTCCGTCTGGTGTCTGGAAGGGATGCTGGCTAAGCAGGCAGAGAGGATTACCCTGTTATGCCACCATGCCTACCCCAACTTAAGTCTTAGATGCCTTAAGACATCTAAGGACTGAGCAGATAATGTTGGGATTCCCAAAAGGTAAGATGTTCGGAGTCTTTGTGGCGGCAGGTGTAAGAAGCCCTTGCAGAAACAGATTGCCTGTCAAAGGTGAAGTGGACACTCTGGCTGAGGATGTACTGTATACCCTGAGTGCATTTTGAGGGTGGTATTGTATCAGATGTCTAGATTGGGTTTGCGTGCACTTGCTACGTATCCCAGTAATTCTTAGGCATATGCAAAAAAAAAAATCCTCAAGATCTTGGGTTTTTTTTGTCAAAGCAATGATGTTTTAGTAGCTATAAAGAAATGTCTAATATTTATTGCACATATTCCATGCCATGTACTTCTAGGTATCGTTTAACCTAATGCAACCTGTAAGGTAGATAGCGTTACCATCCACATTTATAGATGAGGATCCTGATGCTCAAAGTCAAGTAGTTTGTCCAATTTCAAACAGTGAGTGATGAAACTAAAACGTTAGGGGGATTTTTTTCTAAATCTGATTTAACCACCTCACTGTGCCACATCAAAGACAGTGATCATCTTTAGAATCATGGGGGAAAAAAACTAAATTAGAAATAATAAAATATAGAATTAATGTCAGTTAATTCACCGAGTCTAAGAAATGAATGCAAAGACTGAAGATTTAAAGATAGCCATCTTACTGGTTTGGTTAACCAGTTAACTAGACTGCACCGGGTGAAGACTACTTTTACATAGTGCGTCTTTGGTTTGGTGGATTTTCTTGTCCTCCAGGAGAAAATGTTGGGTCCGTTTGTGGTGATGATTAATGTGTGGTTAGGAGGAGCTGACCAAGTGACCCTGTCATAGCTCAGCAGTGGGAGAGAGAAGCCACCTGGTGTACTCTCGACTGGAGAGGCCGTGCAGGCTAGTGGGCACCACCATTTGTTGTTAACCCTCTCTACCTGCTGCTTTGAAGACGCAGTTGAAAAGTACTTCTTTTGTTTTTTTATTACAGGGGATGGACTTGACCTTGTTGATGCCATAGGATAGAAATAGAAATGACAAACAGTGGCTCATTTGGACAGAAAAGAGCATTCTTGGGGTTTGCTTAAGTTCTAGGAAGGCTGGAAGCCACGTAAGGAGGACAACATGAAATTCTTTCCACATGTAGCATTCTCACTGATCACATCTCTTCAGTGTGTGGTACTGTCTCTGTGGCCTAGACAGAAGACAGCCCACACGAGGCCGAGGGACCTTTTCCAGTACATCCTGCTGGAGTTGAAGGACCTGAGACTGAGGGCTGTGGATGCCAGAGCTGCCCGCTTCATCCCATGGCCTGTGTGACTCTGAGAAGTTCCCTTGTGGAGAAGGTCTTTGGGTTTTACCTCAGAAAGTGACGAGAGTGGTGTGGTGTGGCATCAGAGCTTGCTTGGCTTAGGTCCTCATTTCCAAATAATGGTTGTCCTCCCTTTGCATTCCTCGTAAGAGGTGGTATGGTGCATTTACTTGGACAAATGTTTCTGAGTAGACAAGATTTGAGCTGCTTAGCGAGGGTTATCTAGAGGGTTAGTAATACTTGTTTTATTAAAGTAGTGGAATTTGTGTTTAGTCAGAGGGCTCTTTGGGCCAGAACTCCTCTCATGTTTAGAGCTTGGAGTGTTGGCGCCTGTCTGTGTGAACCACTTGAACTAAACTGGCAAGGTAACATCTACACATGGCTCTCCTGATCTGAAAAAGGTCAGTTATGTTTTGGGGGCTACATCGGGGAGGAGGGAATTAAGAGATTGTGGTTGCCACTGCTTCCTCATCCTTTTGTCATTTTGGTTTAAAAAATTATGTGTTTGAGAAACAGAGATAACGCTGTCGCCTTGCTCTCCCGGCTTCGCTCCCTAAATGCCCACAGTGAGGGCTGGCCCGGGCCCGAGCTGGGATCTGCCATCCCCTGCCTCCATCCAAGATGCACATGGTAGAGCCAGTGGGGCCAGAGCTTGAGCTTGGGCATTTCAGTAGGGGGGCTCCAGGTGTCCCAAGCAGCGTGTTATCTGCACCTGGCCCCTGCAATCACTTTGTTTGCAGAGGTTGTCCGGATAAAAGGGAGCAGAGAAACAATTCTAGGTATGTCACTGCCTTCATCCTTACTGGTGTGGCCCAGTGATCTCTAACTGCCCCGCATATCCCTCCAGGGACATTTGGCAGTTCAGAAAGCATTTTTGGTTGTCCTAACTTGGTGGTTGGAGATCAAGGCTGCTGCTGTGCCCGGCACCGACCTCCCCCTGCAGAGAGAAGTCACTGCTGCAAGTGGTGGAGGTTGGGAAGGTCTGCTCCAGGCAAATTACATTTTTTTCTGCACCAAATATTTTGTGGTTGTTGATTACCCAAGTGACTTCAAACAGATGGAACAAACAAGCGAGAGAATTCCTCCCTCTAGTTGCTACCTTTGTTTACTGTGCCTGAGACTGGGCAGCTGATGGTGGGCCCTGTGGTTGCGGAAGAGCGAGCCAGGATCACCCGCCAGAGCTGGGAGCGCCTGTGCTGTCAGCCCGAGGCTCGTGGCTCAGTGCAGAGATGGCATGGCTGTCCTCCTGGCGATCTTGGAGCTTCTGCGCGTCCCCGCTCTCCCTTTTTGTTGTCTCAGCTACTGCTCTGTGGTTAATGAAGGACTGAGCCGCTTCTCCCCCGCTTAACCTCCAAGGCCTGGCTGAGAGAAAGCAGAAACGTCTGTTTTAGAAACTGTTTGTGTTCAAACTTCTTTGTAATCAGGGCTGAGTTCTAGAAGTTTCTAGTGCATCTTAGACTGTGCCACAGTGGAAAGTAATTTTGCCTTCTTGCCATTGTTTCCCCCTTCCCACTGTTCATAGTGTTTGCTCACGTCTTACCATTTTGTTCTTAATATTCCTTTGTTAACTGTGGCAGTGATGGCGCCAGAGCTTTTCAACTGGCTTGACGTGTTTTTCTGGTACACCTTTTAATTTAGTAGGTCCTTAAATTGAATGATCTGATTCACTGTTGTCATTGTCCTAAACTAAACCCTTATGTGACAGTTACAGAATCTGGAAAGGGAAAGAATACTTCATAGTATTCAAGTTGTCTGCCACTGGACCATGCCAGCAGAAAACCAGATTTGAAAAATTCTCTTAAAAGATGAAAAGTGCCAAGTGACCAGGCAAGTTATTGTTAGCCAAGTAGTAGTCCGATGGTGGTAAAAATGTGTACTGCAGCTTGGAAAGGAAATAAGAAAATGACCGAAGTATGGGATGTCTGAACTTGGAGTCTCATCTTTGTAGTTATCCGCAGTTTTACAGATAAATACAAGCTTTTTAATGCAGTTTTAGAGTATAGGCTCTCTGAGTCATCAGTTTGACTCTTTCCCAGAAAGTTCCCAGTTCCTGTGGAAAGTCAGCATACCGGATTGCTTAAGAGCTTGGGTTTTGCTAGTCACATTGCCTGGGTAGAGCCCTACTGTCAAAACTTAACAGCTTTGTCACTTGAGCCATAGACACCACTGTGCTCTGTGTGTGTATGTATGTATGTATGCTGAAAATGTAAGTAGTAAGTCACAGGTTGATTGTGTGGATTGAATAAAATATGAGATGTGTTTGAGAATAGTGTTGGCATATAGGAAATCTTTCATAAATGGTAGCTATTGTCATGAGCATAGAACAGAGTCTGTCTAGAAGGTACAAAATAGTAGACTGAGATTTTTTTGAATTGGTTAAGGTTTGACAGGAAGCCTGTGGCCGACGGTGAAGTAGATAATGGGAAATGGGATGACACTGCTCACCCATGTCTGTGTTGTGGGGAATCAGCCTTATTTTAAATCTAGGCTTGCTGTGCTTGTGAGGAAAGTTGTTAATCTTTATTCCTTACTTACACTTTGGATTAACAGTAATAAAAAGTTGTTGTAAAAACTGTATGCTAGCATGAGTGTAGGATACTTAAAGACTAATGACTGGAGCCTGGTGTGGTAGCCTAGCGGCTAAAGTCCTCACCTTGCATGCGCTGGGATCCCATATGGGTGCCAGTTTAAATCCCAGCAGCCCTGCCTTCCATCCACAAGCTTCCTGCTTGTGGCCCGGGAAAGCAGTCAAGAACGACCCAAGGCCTTGGGACACTGCACCTATGTGGGAGACCTGAAAGAAGCTCCTGGCTTCAGGTTGGTATAGCTCTGGCCACTGCAGTCACTTGGAGAGTGAATCAGCAGATGGAAGATCTTCCTCTCTGTCTCTCCTTCTCTCTGTATATCTGACTTTCTGATAAAAATAAAATAAAGTTAAAAAAAAAGGACTAATGTGTGGCGGGTAGTCCATATTCAGGAAATACTGTTGATAATTAATGTCTTGTATTCAGCATGAAGACTGGGCCAGGCACCGTTGAAGCTTGCTGGAGGTATGATTTCATTCTCCCAGCAGCCTTTGAAGGTGAGCGTTATCATCACCATTTTACAGGCCGGGAAATGCAGTTCTGGAAAGGTAGGCAAGCAGGCCCAAGGCTGTGTAGCCTCTTGTGGTGGAGAAAAAAACTGATTTTTTTTGTTGTTGCAAGTCTGTGCTTCTTTG